TTTTAGTGTCACCAGGGACTCCATGGTCGACTTGGTCGGCATCACCCCCATGGCATTATCGCAGGTCGGCTTAATCACCTTCTCACCCTTTCGCTTCTTAGCCTTCTTCACAAGAGGATTCATGTCGATTATACCGAACTGGTTGACTTCTTCTTCCGCAATGATGGCATTCAGCTCATCCAAGATATCCATCTCGTTAGATCCGCCTCTCACGTCGGCCTCGTCTCGTAACTCGAGAATCTCAAACTCCAATCTGGAAGAAGCCTCACCAGATCTACCTATAAACCCGACCTGATCGGCGTGAAATATATCAGCCGTCGCCTGCTGATTCTATGCCCTTACGGGACGAAAAAAAGGAGCAAAATGGAGAAGAAGAAAAGAGAATAAGAAAACCGAAGGAGAAAAAGGAGAATGAGAAGAACAAAATTAGATTAAGGAGGAGAAGAAGAAAAGATGAAGAAGAAGGAGTAGAATAAGAAGAAGGGATGGATGAGAATAAGAGTGGATGAAAAGGAATAATAATAGAGAAAAAGAAGGAGAAAAAAAAATAAGAAAAGGAGAAGAATGGGGAGAAGTGATGAAGAAGAAAAGGAAACGAATTGAGAAGAAGAGATAACAAAAAGGGAAGAAGAAGAAGAAAAATAAAGGAGAAGTGATGAAGAAAAACCACAGAGAGGAAGAAGAACAGCAGAAAAGATGGAAAAAAAAAAACATAAAAGAAGAATGGAGAAGAACAAGAATGGATGAAGAAGAAGAAGGCATTTATGAGGAAGAACAATGAATGAGAAGGATGATAAGGGATGAATGGATGGAGGAGAAGACGAAGGAGTAACCAAGTGTTGTTAGCTCGACTGGTAAAAAGTCCTAGGCAAATCTTAGAGGTCATATGATCGAGTGACGCTTGTGATGAAACTAATATTGCATTACGTGGTTTGGGCCTTCAGAGATTGCAGGCTTCAACCCAGAACCTTATGGTAATACAAAAAAAGGAAGAAGGAGCAAAACGGAGAAGAAGAAAAGATAAAGACGAAGGGATTAAGAAAAAGAAGCAGGAGAAACAGAAAAAGAAGAAAGAATTGTCGGGGTCGGTTTCCATCATGACGATATCAATAAATAAAAGGCTAAGTAAGGAAATGAGCATAGGTAAGCCAGAGAGGTGATAAGCCGGACTGGCAAGCCAAACCGGTGAACCGCCGAGCAGAAACAACGAGCCGGGTCAATAGAGACGAATTAAACCATTCATGTCCGTCGAACGGGATAGGTGGACCAGACCAACAGAATAAACCAAACCGATGAGTAGAGGTCGGTAAAAATGTGCCAAATCCCAGACTGAGCCAAACTGTTTAGTTGTCAAACCAGAGAGATGTGTCGAGCCGGAGAGACGGGACGAATCGGCCAATAGAACCGAACCAACAAAATTAACCAAGTGGGAACCGAGCCATTTCTCTGATGGGCCTAGGCGATGATGAACGAGGCCCAATATGAAGCAATAAATATACGAGCCAAGTCATAAGCCCAAGAAGACATCTAAAAGCAGAATTTGCCTTAGTAGGACTTAGCCTTGCGGAAGAGGGCTCCGTAAAAGAGAAAAAGAAGGAAATCTATGACTATATTCACCGAGATTCCCGCTTAAGGTTGTAGAGAGATATGTATAAATATGAGACATAATCTATTAATGGTATGCAGCTTTTTCACGTTTAGACATAATCTATTAATGTCTAAGGGATTGAATAGTATGCAGCTTTTTCACGTTTTCACGTTTTAAAAATATGATTCTACTAAATGCATATCATTCATAATATCAAACATTGAATGATAAAAAGTAAAAATCAACACGCTATTTTTCGAATCATCCTGCACGTTTTAAATTTATAATTAGGTTAAAAAAAAAATTATTCATCTAATAGATACTAGCTTTTGAGCGTTTTAAGTTTATTTTAATAAAAATAGTGTAATTGTTTTTGTAAAGAGATATATTTGATTTGATTTAAAATAGGAATTGAAATCACAGAGGACCTGCGAAGAACGTACGAAGACAAGTGTACGAAGCGGTGAACATGTTTTGGCAACCAAGAAATTAAATTGAAGGTGACAAAATTCCTCAATAATGAATTTGTCTTTGATAAAGCAGGACTACGAAGAGCACGGATTTTCTTGGAGACTATTGATTTTGTATTGGTAATTGGAGACATAATTTGTATTTATGTGGGGAAAGGATTATCTAATAATAGTATCGATGAAATTGAGAAAATGATTAAGTAATAAAAGAAGATTAAATAGATAACAAAGTTGGAAAAAAAAACAGGAAAAACAGGAAGAAAAAGCTACAGAAAAAAAAAATTAACTATTATTTGAGAAGCATTTTTAATGTAAAAGTCTAATGTGTCATCACTTTACCGAAAGTTAGTATAAATTTCCTAAAACAAACGAAATATTTTGATTGATTGAATTATAATTAAATAAATTATAAAATTATAAAATTATAACATATATACACTAGATTATAACACTAAAAATAATTATTATAATTAACAGAAAATAATAATTACTATGATTTTAATTTTTTTAACATATATTCATAATATATTGCATAAAATCTGATTACAAAAATTTTACAATCAATATATATTTTATATTTTTATATAGAAAAATAATACTCTCTCTCTATTTTAAAATGTAAATTATTTTGGCTAAAACACACATATTAAGACATATTTTACTTTTTATCTTCCCTAAAAATCAATCATTATTTTGCAACTAAAAAGATGAATAGTTCATGTTTGTTTTTTTGCTTTCCAACTTTTTAGATTAAATATTATTATTTTTTGCCTAGAATCTGTAAAACAACTTATATTTTGAAACAAACTAAATCTCTAAAACAACTTATATTTTGAAATAGAGGGAGTAATGAATTATCCAATAAGATAGTATATATGCTATATATTAATAATGTCGGGAGTATAATATATTATTATTTGTATATAATTTTTTAACATTTTTATATTATTGTTTTCTGGAATTTGCATAGCTTACATTACCATCTCATTTTATCTCTTATCTTTTTTTAAATAAATTAAAATTTTATATCATACTCATATATAGTCACAAAACAAAAAAGTTTCAAAAGACACAAAACGATTTGAAATGTTTATGTGATTATTGTTAAACACTAAAACTGTATATGTATAAAAACGTAACGCTTACATAATAAGTTTTCTAAATGCACAAAATGATTTAAAATGTTTGTGTGATTGTTGTTAAACACTAAAACTGTATACGTATAAAAACATAACGCTTACATAATGTATAAAAAATTAATCAATACTTAAATATTACAACTAATTATGTCTATAAAAAATTATACTTGTATATGCGTGCGGACTAACCATAAAAATTAAATACATTATTATATATTTTAATATTTTTGGTTTATTTCGTTATCATATTTACAGTTTTTATCGAATCAAGTATTTTAAAAATCTGGGTTAATGTTTTTATATCTCCAATTTCTATTGAAATCTATAATATTTTTTAATTAGTTTATTGTTATTTTTATTATTAAATGTTTATATAATGTTATTATTAATATATAATTAATTATATAAAAATAAAATATCTTTAATATATAATATTAATCATGTATTTGACATATAAAGTATTTTATCGCTTGCACACAGTGCAGACCGATCACCTAGTACTAAGTAAAAATAAAAAAATTAAATATGAATAAAGAACAAAAGTTTATATTACATGTGAATGTATTCCAATTATATAGCAAGAATTATGAACCAGAAATGGAATAAAAAGTGACGGAATTAGATGAAAAATTATTTTAAAAAAATAAAAATATGAATAAAAACAAAAAACAAAGAATAATAAAAATCATTTTATTTTATTTTATATTTTTAAAGTATTTTAAGTTTTGTGTATATTTTATTTTTTGCTACATATAATTTCCCAAACCTATTAAACATTTTTTCAGAAACTAAATTTTTTTATAAATATATTACAGAACATGTCAATCATTTATTTATTATAAATAATATATATTATTCTTAATTAATTTTTATCAAAATTCTAATGCTTGCACATATGTGTAGGCTAACCACCTAGTACTAAGTAAAAATAGAAAATTAAATATGAAGATGAAGATAGGACAAATATAAAACATAAGAATCAGAAATCAGAAAAAACAATAACAATAAAAGAGTGAGAAGAATTGAGAAAATAGAAAAATTAAAAGAAAGGAAAGAATATATGTTAGAAAAATGTGATTAAGATGAAATTGAATAATAAGAAGATGAGAAAAAAAGAAAAATGAAAGATAAAGAAGAAGAGAATGTACACAAAGACAAAAAAAAAACCAAGAAAAAAAAGAAAAAAAAATGAGATTATTGAATAAAAAGAAGAAATTCTGAAAGAAGAAGTTAGACAAAGGATGAAGAAGACTAATAACGGATGAGAAGGGTTTAGCACTCTTATTCACTAAAAGCATACATAATATTTTCAGTACATTTAATTATGTGTATCAATATCTTTTTTTATATATATAAAAAAGGCTTATGTGTGTCAATATCATAATTAATATATTTAAAATGACAATACGGCTTTACGTACTACAAGCATCATAAAAGAACAAGAAGAATTAGTAGAAAAGATGAAAAGAAGTTAGATAGATAGTTTATACAGCTACAACACATTTTTATTGTGTATTAGTTGATCAAAAAATTGAAAAAATTGTATTAAATTTTTTAACTGTAGATAATTTCTAAAAACTTCTTATAAAATAGTGGATTGTTTCATTTGTTTGATTCCTATATATAGACATGATTGGTAATTTAAGGCATACATATTAATTTAACATTTTTATAAGCTAATTTTTTAAGCTGAATATATTGTTATTTGTAATATATATTACTGAAATCTGACTCAATTTTTTTAAAAAAATTAAGATATATCAACAGTAACTTGCTCATGAAAAATGTATTTTCCATAAAAAAACATATTAATTTTAATTTTCAAATAAATCCAGATTATAAAACTTGATTTTTCCAACTCTATATAAAACAATGTTATCAATTTAAAGAAAATAAAATGAACCCCAGGAAGTCACCTAGTATGTCTAGTAAAATTGTCCGATTTTGTATCTGCTTTCTTTTTTGGGTGCAAATCCGATTTTGTATCTGCTCTGTTTTACAATTCATGACACAAGTCAAGAACTTTTCATCTTGTTATAACGACTGAAGCAAATCAACCAAAAATTTCAGCCAAAAATTAAATATTTGTTCCATGTTTTACTCAATTCTTTAGTTTCAAAATAGATCAAACATTTCCATATTCAAAAATTCAAAACACACTCACCTCTTCAACTTCCCAGATCCTTCCAAAGGCATGACCTCAGCCTCCTGCAACATTCTCTGCCAGAGATCTTTAACAAGATGACGAGACTTACTCTGAAACCAATTTTGAATCTCAGAGTAAAGCACGTTCGAATTATCTTCCCAAACCTTTCTCAAACTCTCCAAACTATCAACCTTTTTCTCTTCCAACGCTGTCACCAAACCCCCAACTCTTTCCAAACCCCAAGCTTCTCTTTCCAACAACGTTTCAGGTTTCCCAGCCATCAATGGCCTAACGCTTTTCAAACAAGGCAACACCTCTCCTTGAAGCAAAGCGCACCCGAAAGCTGCTGCTCGGTCTCTATCGTCTCTTACCGCTACACTATGAGCAGGAAGCTCCCAAAGATGAGGACCGAAACTAGGAACAACCCAGCAGAAAACTCTATCCAGCTTACTCGAGTAATACGGTTTCGGGTCCTTGAGTGGCGCAGATAACACACAGAGCGACTTTGCGTGTTTAACAAGCCACTCGGGCTTAACCCGTGTCGCTCCGTGCATGTACGGTCTGTTGGTGAGTAGAAGCTCGCTGTAGACTAATAATTCTGGGGCCGAGTTTATGAGAGACGACCAACGGTGCAAGAAAACGGGTTCTTGAACCGCGCACGCTTGGTACTCTGTCGCTTTGCTCTTTCTGGCTACACGGTCTGCCCATCCCGCACATATGCCTTCTCCTAAGAGCTCTTCTTCGTTCTGTAAAAGCGGGGATTTTGAGGAAGACGATGCAGTGTTTCTCCATGATTTCTCTACGTCTTGTATAGTCCCATGAGTCCATGAGAAAACATTTTCAGTGTCAGAAGGCTTACAAGAGCTGAAAACAAGACGCAGAAGCTGATCTTTGAGCTTAGACATTTCGCTCATGGTTTTCAAATGCAAGCCGTACGACTCGCAGAAGCCCACACCATTCACGGAGACCTCAAAAGCATGCAACGCGTAAGCTACGGTTAAAGCATCGCTGCTCGGGTTGGAAAATTTGTCACGAGCGGCTTTGATTTTATCTTTCCGATCTCTTTTCCGTTGTTTATCTTCTTCCTTCTTGATGGTTTTAGATGGTTCTTCGGACTCGTTTTTATCCTCTCCTTCAAACTGCATTATCAAAGGGTTTGGCAAACTCAACGCGGCTACAGCTGCAACAGCGTATCCGAGGACGAGATTCGCGCGGGAGTAGTTCTGTGCCTTTTTCAGCATTTGGATGACAGTGAGAAGCATTCTTGAGTGACGTGGGCTCATGGGATAGTGAGACATAGCCTTCCCTAATGGGGTTAACCTTCCGTTGCTGTCGAGGGCCTCTAAAGCCTTCAAGCACCGTTCTGCTTCTCTAATAGCTGATGGCTCAGGCGGAGTTGGAAACGGGAAATTCTCAACCTTTGGAATGTTCATAGATTTCATGAGAAGAATGACTCCGTCAACAGGAACTTTCTTGATTTCAGGAGGAGAAGATTCCACAAAGATATTGTTGAAAACCGCTGATGAATAGAGACGGTAGCAGTGACCAGGTCCGGTTCGTCCAGCTCTTCCGGCTCGTTGACTAGCTGAAGCTTGACTAATCCAATCTACCTCATAAGTTTCCATACCAGTCTTGATATCGTAGTTCTTCGCTTTAGCACGACCTGTATCAACCACATACTTTATACTCGGAATAGTCAGAGAAGTTTCAGCTACATTAGTCGCCACGACCACAAGTCGTTCTCCTTCCTCAACTTCCTCAAACACTCGGAGCTGTGCAGCTGGAGATAGCATCGCATAAAGCGGAAGAACACGTAATTTTCCAGGAGAAAACGTTTTCTTTTCTTGATTCTCAACTTCTTGCTTCTCTGCTGCAATGGAATTTGTTGGCTCAACAGCAGATTCGGATCCGGATCCCTTTTTGTCTGCCAAAGCTTTAAACGCTGCTCTAAGAGCATCAAGTCTCCCTCCTTCCTCTACAAATGAATTCGCAAGGCCATCATCAACTATTTCCCAGTCGCCTTCTTCATCAGACTCAAACATGTCTTCATCATCAAAATCATCACGAAAGTCACCAGTTTCATAAGGATCTTCTCCGTGAGAGCTAAACCTGTAACTTTCATCGTTGGAGCCGCCATCATCAAACGCTTCTTTAATCTCCTTCATGTCAACACCACCAAACGACCCATCATCGTCACAGTTTTTCTTCTCAAAAGCATCTCTTTTAGCAGCTTTAACAACAAGTTCCTTTGAAGACTTAAGCAGCTTCTCGCATAAATGCTCAACTTCTCTCTGCCCGGTCACAAAAACAAGTACTCCTCCTTGCGGTAACTTTTTGTGCATCGACATCACTTTCTTGTAAGCTTGACCGATATAATCAACAATCTCAGTCTTCTTTGAGAAATGTATAGTCACTGGATACTGTCGAGTGGGAACATGTATAACCGGAGGTGATTTACGGAATAACCTCTCCCCCGATACAAAATCTTCCACTCGCAAAGTTGCACTCATCAATATAAGTTTAAGCGGCGTGATGATTTGGTTCTCAGGTTGTAGACTCTTTCGTTGTTCCTCGTAGTACTCCTGACGGATCTTAATGACTCGAGTGAGCATCCCAATTAAAATGTCTGTGTTCAAGCTTCTCTCATGGGCTTCATCGAGAATTATCACAGAGTAACGCCTCAACAAGAAATCATTCTGCAACACAAGAACTTAACACAATCAAATTCTCCATGATTAAAATGAGAACGATTTTACAAAACAAATCTATTTACCTGAATTTCACGAAGTAGAATCCCATCGGTCATAAACTTAATAGAGGAGTCTTCACCAATCTTTCTGTCGTACCTAACTTGAAACCCGACTTCTTTACCAAGACGAAGACCGAGCTCAAACGCCACTCTCTTGGCGGTGGCAAGGACCGCCACACGGCGTGGTTGAGTAATCCCGATAATCCCACTTCGAGAACTGCATTGCTTTGAACCGAAACCAGCTTCATAAAGAAACTGAAAGATTCAGAAACAGAAACAAAAGATCAAGATTAGACTAACATAAACAAACTATCTGAGAGACCAGAACTAAGCTATCAGAAAACCTTTACCTGAGGAACTTGGGTGGTTTTACCACAACCGGTTTGTCCTGAAATAATAACTGTCGGATGATAGTTTATAGCTTCCATTATCTCCTGCTCCATCATCACTATAGGAAGGTCCTTCCTCGTCTCTTCAACTTCGGCTGGTCTTGATACATGAACTACAAACGCGGGCACACAAGGTCCTTCTACAGTTCCCTCATCCTGGTTCATATCAAACCCATTAACACCAATCAAATCAAACACACAAGACAGCAACATAGCAGAATTCAAATCCGACAAACCATTCTTTCTAAGCCTTCTTCATCATCATCATCATGACGAGTTCTCTGTAAGATCGTATCCACATTTGCATCTTCTTCAAAGGCCTCTTCAGCAGGAACCATCACTTCAGAACCGAGTTCAGGAGCATGAACCGGTTGCTCAGAATCAGTTTCGAAACTCGGGGTTACGATTTCAGCATGTTCCGGTTTGGTAGGTTCTTCGGCCATACAAGCATCAGAGTCGTCTTGTTGCTCGACTTTTTCATCAGAATCCTCATTCACAACACCAGCTTTAGAAAGTTGCATTGATCTCCTACGTTTCTCTAGCTTTGTCGCCGACTGAAATCACAAAAGGAGAATCAGAACATCATCACCAAACTTTTCCAAGAACTCGAATCAAAGCTAGAAAAAGTTCATTGCTTACCCTTCCTATAACTGTTGAGGATTGTAAAAGCGATGACACATCCTCAGATATTTTATACTTGCTGTGAAAATTCAATACCAAATTCATTTAAAAACTCTAAGAAAAAAATCAAATCAGTAATTGAAGAGAAGCTTAATCATACTCTAACAACTCTGCGGTTTTTGCAGAGAGGATCTCTTTCGCCTTGTCTTCTTCAAATTTCTTCAGCCTCCGTTTCTGAGATTTGCTCAGTGTCGCCTTCTTCTTTAGTTTCAGCTTATCAGACTGAAAACGAATTTACAGATTTCGTCAGTATTGAAACCCCCAAAAAGTCTTTCTGAAGTAGGGTTTTCTTTTACCTTATTGGATCCTTTATTCTTCTTCCTCGGAGGCATTACAAGTAAATTGCAATCGTCTCCCATCATACTTGCCGAGAAATCGTAAGAAGAATCGATTCGAAGAGAAAAGCTGTTTGGTCTACTTAGGGATTGTCAGTTAACGTTAACTGAGAGTGAAAGAGAGAGGCTCTTTCAGAATTGCAGAAAAATAGAGAAGAGATGAAACGAAATTTTTGCAGAGAGAGACGAGAATCGGCGCAAAAATATTGGCGAGAACCTAGTTTTTATTTACACTATACTAATTCCGCACCTACTTCGGATTTTTTTAAATAAAATATATTTTATTATAAAAATAAAATATGTTTATGTGAATTTCATACTTATAAAACTTTTCAAATATAATATATTTGTTGAATTCATTTTTACCGTATTCAATAGGTAAAAGATACACTGATAATAGGCTCGGCCGAAATGATGAACTTGGTGCCTAGACTTGTCTAACGACTCCCTACCTAAATGTTCATCGGTATATGGCGGACTTCCCAATGAGTGTGAGCATATCTACTCTTTCTAAAGGTCTCTCGGATGGGACAAATCAAAAGGAAATGTGTATAAGGAAAGAAGAAGAGGTCAAGATTGAGAAGAAAGGCCGAGATCTCCCAAGCATCCCTCGGAGGCGAGAGGCTGAAGATCCTCTAACGTTCTCTCAAAGGAGCGCCACCTAAGATAAGCATTCACTTCTTCTCTATCTCTTTACTATATCCCCATTAAGAGAGAGCTCTACCTCCACTATCTCAATGGTTCATACATTTTACATTTTCCTTTGCCAAATGATAGAAGAGTATCACGATCCTTAGACGGGATATCCAAACTATAAAGCAATCACCATCCGTCCGCACTCTTGATTATCTGTTCACTGCGGGACGTAATCTAAATTGTGCATCAAAGAACTTTCGAGAGGAAAACCTATTTCCGATCTCCCAAAGGCTCGATTCACCCATTGCGAATGTTTGCAGGACCCAAAAAAAATCTTCCAGGGAGTATATACCGCTCAATCCTCGAAGCCTAATCTAAGAGGCTCAGTTGTACTACTCGGACGAACACACACATCCCCGTAAAAAATCCATAATTTTCTCACAAACAATATTACTTCACAAATATAATAATTGAGTTTTTTATATCATATATATATAGTTGTATAAAGCTATATTTTAGTTTATGGTATCAATTAATTTATAACACTATATACTATTTTTAGAGAGATCTATCAAACATAATGATGATTTTATTTTAATAATTATTACTTTTTATTTTACTTTTAAAATACCATCAAATAGGACTATTATACATATTATGCAAATAATAGTTTATTTTCTTTCTTTTTATATTCTTTTATCATCAAATTACAACTATATTTTATTTTTAAATAAATATATGTTTGTTATGTAAATGGTTCATTCATCATCAAAGTTTCACGAGCATTATCAATTTTTTTTTCTTTTTTGCTAAAAATTGCTTTGAGAAATCATTTTTCGTTTTTCACAATAAAAAGAAGTAGTTTTCTCTGGTTTCTTTATATCTTAAATTATTTTTAGCTCAAATTCAATTAAGTTTTATTATTTAAAATCATAAATAAATAGATGTTTCATATTCCATAAATTGCAGTTTTATATCTAACTAATGAAATTTATTTAATGATAACTATTTATTAGATTGTTTTAATTTTAGTTAGCTACTTGTCACTTCTAAATTAATCTAAAATGCTGATGTGTCAAGATGCTGGAGAGGGTTATTTCCTATTCATATATATGATTTTATACACGTGTGGACCTTTTATTCGGGTATTCAATATTTTGTAGATTATATGGTAAAAGTGTATGTATGTAACTCGTATCTCAAATGAATACCAGCATAATTGTTAGAGAGAAAAAAACTAACTTAGATAAAAATTTCATGAATAATTATAAAATGCTGAGAATTTAATCTACTATATATTATTTGAGAAGTAACATTATTGAAAATAGCTGACTTGTCAACAATACAACCAAAGTTAGTGCTTTTAATTGATGACATGTAAATGTGACATGTCAAACTTCCTAAAATAAATGAAAAGTTTTGATTGGTTGAACTAAAATTATAGAAATTATGGAATTAAAACATAAATACACTAGATTATATTTATAACACTAAAATTAACAAATTTATATTAACAGAAAATAATTATTATTATAATTTAAATTTTTTACATATATTCATAATTTAATAAACTATAATTATAAAAACAATTCAACAATATATATATATATATATTATAATTTCATATAAAAACGAAAAATAATATTAAATTATCCAATAGAATAATAAAATTTATATATATTAATAATACTTAAAGTATGATATATTTTTATTTCGGAAAGTTATTAATCTACAAAATATAATAATAACATCTAAACAGTTTTTAAATAAATAAATTATTAATTAATACAAATTTAAATTAAATACAATCATGATAAAAATAATTTAAAGAATAAAATGTTAAAAATAATTTAAAGAATAAAATGTTAAAAATAATAAAAAATAATTAACTTTTATTGAAATTATATTAAAAAACATAATTTAAATAATTTTTATTTTCAAACAAATATTTACTATATGAATAAAGTATAAACTAATCATTATTTCAAAATATTAATAGGACCAAATATTTTTCTATAACTTTTATCATCTTTTTATTGTTGTTTTCTAAAATGTACATAACTTATGTTACTATCTCATCTTATCACTTATCATATTTTAAATAAAAATAAAATTTTATATGATATTCATATACATATATATATATATATATATACATAAATTTATTTTTATTGTATATCAAAAATTTGAGATCATAAATGAAATAAAAAAATAACCAAACAAAAGAATTAATTTCAATAAGATGAAACAAATATGAATAATAAATAAAAATATAAGTATGTAAAAATAAAGCTCTCGCACTTTGTTTTACAAAGTCACTTAAAAACTTTTTAACACGTAAAAGCTATATTCTGACTTTTTATAAATATGCGTACAAACATAAATATTAATTTTTCATTAGTTAAAATCACATGCGAAATTTTTCGTGCATGTATATTGTTAATCTTGATTACATTGTAATTTTTATTTTAATTATTATACAATTTATATTTTTAAAAAAATATTTATTTATTCTAAGTGTAGTGAAGTGGTTGGTATGTCCGCATCATGCGTAAAAATAAGAAAAACTATTTCAGTTTAATTTGTAATAAATCAAGAAAAGTATATAATTAAAGTATATTATATCTGTAGTCGCAAATTCATATTATTTAAGATGCAAAAAAGCATATTGTAGATTGTATAAGGAGAAATAAAGCATATTATAAAAATATTCAAAAAATATTAAAAAATTTAATTATTATTTAATATAACTTTTATATTTGTGATTATATATTATTACAAGCATTATAAAAATAAAAAGTTTTAAAATATATTGGTTTCAGAAAGAACTTTGTGCAATATTAAAACAATATATATATGCAAACATACTAATGTTTCAAAACAAACTAATCAACACTTAAATATTACAATTAACTATGTGTATCAAAAAAATTATACTCGCACATATGTGCGGGCCAACCACCTAGTTTTAATTGATTAATTATGTTTTTTTATTACATTTTTACTATAACTAGGTATATACCCGTGCTACGCATCGGGAAGTTGATTTAAACGTTTTATTTATATGATTAATATTTATATTGAACTAATTGTTTGAAATATATTATTTTATCTGAAAAAAAAACAAAGTAATATTGACATTTTGTATATTATGAAAGTACCATGAAAACAAAAATTGATTTATTTATGCGGATTATTTTTTAATTATCTTTTTATTGATATAATGCTATATTTTTGATAAAATAAAAATACATTAAAATTAATATTATGCATATTTTAATAAATATACAAATCTGTTAATAAAATTCTATTTTAGTTGCATTTTATGTCATAGTCACTGTTTATCTAATTTTTACCAGAGATGGATGTAAAGCAACACATATGGTGGAACGTGCTTATGTGCAATTTTTCAACTGTAGTAATTACTGCACCTAACCGAATCTCCTCTCACCAAGAGCCTAATTCATGGTATTATCCTTACTCTCTTAAACTAACCCTCTAAATTAATATAAAAATTCACTCAAATGACATCCTACTTAATTTCATCATAGTTTTATATTTTTTTAACTTAAAAAATAATCGCTCACCCATCTAGTTGTTTTTCTCTAAAACATGTTCAAAGTATCAAATGATCTACCACTTCTTGATTATAGACTTTGTGAACATGCATGCACAAAATTATTTATTTAGAATAGTATTTCCAACTTTAAAGTTTTGAAGCTTAATAGTAAAACCATCTTAACATTAATTTATGCCACATCATTTATTATTTTGTGCAAATGTAAGTTTTCTTAGAAAAATATTTGTATTAGATGTTTTGTTGTGTTCAAAGGGACATAAATGGTTGTAATGGTGAGTTGAAGTGGAATTAAAACACTAATGGACACTTGGATGATGTAAAACCATATCTAAATTGTGAATATAAAAGGTCAAGATTAAAATTAATTCTCATATATATTTATTTTTAACGGAAAATACCTTAAACGTAAAAATTCACAATAAAACTATTCTTTAAAACAAACTTTTATTTATTTTATAAAATTATTTTTCATTAATAAAAAAACTTTATGTTAATCTGTTTTATAACAAATAGAAATAACCATTGTTCACTCAAGATATATTCATGGATGTTTGGCATATTTATATAGTCCTCACATTTAAATGTTATCAGCTTAGGGTTTATCTTTACTTTGTCTCCTTTGTGAGTTGCTATGTTATTTAAATCGTATAATATAAAATGTTGATCTTACACATACTAAACTTATATCATGGAAGACTATCGACAATTATAGTATAAATGAATCTGAAAGAGAATAAAGACGCCAACTATAACACACTAAAACTTCTCTTTTTGAGTATCTTGATATCTCTTTCTTTTGAATAAAAAAAAACTCCTTTCTTAAATCAAAATTATTTCTCCTTCATTATTATACGAAACAAAGATCATTTTCCAACATCTGAAGTGAAAGAGTTAAATGGAGATTTTGAAACTATGAGTGACATGAATTTGTCAAGTGACACAATTGGAGGAAGAGATCTAGTGAGATTATGCATCTCTCATCTCTTGTGATGACTATGCAT